CACTGCAAAGGTAATTATTGCAATTTTTAAGAAACTTCAATAATTACTGTTCAGGGTTAACTCCTCTAGTGGCTATGCATGGGGACGTCCAGCGTCGCGCAAAACCTAGGATCACGGAAATACCACTGCGAGCGCGGCCCTTGAGGAGCAAAGGCCGACCGAAGCCAGCACAAAAGACATTGGTGCTGGACCCAGGTAAGTGACAGAAGGAGTTTTAACCCCTGCTGCACCACAAGGGGGGGGTGCTTGATGGAGGGGGAAGCTATAGTGCCAGGATAACAAGTTTGTTTTCCTGACACTATAGTTTCCCTTTAATATCTACTCAGTGCGCCTCTTTCTCTAAATGTCTCTTTAGTGTAATTCAGAGTTTAGTGAATCCTTGCACCGGCCCTGCAGTTGCATTCATGAGGGGGGCGTCAAAATGTATTGTTGCCTAGGGCGGCAAGAATCCTTGCACCGGCCCTGAAAGCATTACATTGAGAGTGCATTAAAATATGCACACACAAAAATAATAATTTGAGGTTCATACATTTCTTGCAACACTGTACATTTTGCTGAATTTGCATTAAGCTCTCATCGAACCAGGAAGTAAACCAGTTCACTTAACTTTCAACAGTACTCCTGACCTTATCAAATAAAACATGTTTTATGAATGTAGCAAGGGTTGCCACTGTACAAAGCTGTCTCCAGCTAACAGAAACTTAAAGGAACACTCTACTGCCCAAATGAAAAAAAAAAAAAAAATCACTATTTAGCAGCTATAACTAGGAACCAAGGGCCCCGCTCGTCGCTCCCTCTAAGTACACGTTTGTGGGATGCATGTGGTAAATGAATGTGGTTATGGCAGTTGGCTGAGTGTGATTGCATGTGGCTGGCTGAGTGTTGAATTGCCTTAGTGCAGCATTTCCCAATTGGTGTTCCGCGTAACACTAATTGGGGTTCCGCCCCCCAAAAAATTGAAAATAAAATGGCCGCGGGCGGCAAGGGAGCAGCGAGCAGAGATCTCCCTGCTCAGCTCCCTCGCGCGCACAGCAGTGATGCCGGAGCCAGAATATGACGTCACTCCGGCATCACTAAGAGGCGTGCGAGGGAGTTGAGCAGGGAGATCACTGCTCCCTCGCTGCCGGCATGCCAGCACCCCAGCAGCCCCACTGGACCACAGGGACTTCATGCCAGCCGCCAGCAGCACCACTGGACCCCACACTAAAGGGAGTGGGGCTGGATGGAGTAAATTGTTAAAAAAAAAAAAAAAAAAATTGTATGTGTGTCTGTTAGGGAGTTTGTATGTGTTTGTGTATTTGTCAGTGAGAGTAAATGTGTGCTTATCAGTGAGTATGTATCTGTTTTTGTCAATGAGAGTGTATATGTGTTTGTATGTGTGTCTGTAAAAGAGTGTGTGTGTTTGTCAGTGAAAGTGTATGTGGTGTCTGTTTGTGTATGTGCCTGTGTGTGTATGTCACTGTGTGTATATTTGTGAGTCAAGGTGTTTGTATCTGCATGTCAGTGTGTATCTGTGTGCCAGTGTGTGTGTGTGTGTGTGTGTGTGTATATATCTGTGTGTTAGATCCATATACACACTGACACAGAGATACATACACTGGTGCATACAAACACAGATATATACACCTTGACACACACCGCACATACAAACACAGATACACACACCTTGACACACAGATAGATATACATACATACACACACACACACAGATACACACTGTGTGTCAAGGTGTGTGTATCTGTGTGCCACTATCTGCCAGTTTGTGTATCTGTGTGTCAGATTCATACATACTGGCACATCCAAACACAGGTTCAGTAGTGTGTGTGGCCTCCACGTGGCTGTATGACCTCCCTACAATGCCTGTGCATGCTCCTGATGAGGTGGCGGATTGTCTCCTGAGGGATCTCCTCCGAGACCTGGACTAAAGCATCTGCCAACTCCTGGATAGTCTGTGGTGCAACGTGACGCTGGTGGATGGAGCGAGACATGATGTCCTAGATGTGCTCAATTGGATACAGGTCTGGGGAACGGGCGGGCCAGTCCATAGCATCAATGCCTTCATCTTGCAGGAGCTGCTGACACACTCCAGCCACATGAGGTCTAGCATTGTCTTGCATTAGGAGAAACCCAGGGCCAACTGCACCAGCATATGGTCTCACAAGGGGTCTGAGGATCTCATCTTGGTACCTAATGGTAGTCAGGCTACCTCTGGCAAGCACATGGAGGGCTGTACGGCCCCACAAAGAAATGCCACCCCACACCATTATTACTGACCCACTGCCAAACCGGTCATGCTGGAGGATGTTGCAGGCAGCAGAATGTTCTCCATGGCATCTCCAGCCTCTGTCACATGCTCAGTGTGAACCTGCTTTCATCTGTGAAGAGCACAGGGCGCCAGTGGCAAATTTTGGTGTTCTCTGCACGGTGTTGGGCTGTAAGCACAACCCCCACCTGTGGATGTCGGGCCCTCATACCACCCTCATGGAGTCTGTTTCTGACCGTTTGAGCAGACACATGTACATTTGTGGTGGTCATTTTGCAGGGCTCTGGCAGTGCTCCTCCTGTTCCTCCTTGCACAAAGGCGGAGGTAGCGGTCCTGCTTCTGGGTTGTTGCCCTCCTACGGCCTCCTTCACATCTCCTGATGTACTGGCCTGTCTCCTGGTAGCGCCACCATACTCTGGACACTACGCTGACAGACACAGCAAACCTTCTTGCCACAGCTCGTATTGATGTGCCATCCTGGATGAGCTGCACTACCTGAGCCACTTGTGTGGGTTGTAGACTCCGTCTCATGCTACCACTAGAGTGAAAGCACCGCCAGCATTCAAAAGTGACCAAAATATCAGCCAGGAAGCATAGGAACTGAGAGATGGTCTGTGGTCACCACCTGCAGAACCACTCCTTTATTGGGGGTGTCTTGCTAATTGCCTATAATTTCAACCTGTTGTCTATCCCATTTGCAAAACAGTATGTGAAATTGATTGTCACTCAGTGTTGCTTCCTAAGTGGACAATTTAATTTCACAGAAGTGTGATTGACTTGGAGTTACATTGTGTTGTTTAAGTGTTCCCTTTATTTTTTTGAGCAGTGTGTATATGTGTATATATATATGTGTGTGTGTGTATATATATATATATTTTTTTTTTTATATATTTATGGACAAGCATATAATAATGGGCCTTTTATGCCTCGATCTTCTATGCCCCTGTTTCCGGTCACTGGCGTGCATCATTGGACACACACGTTCTGATATCACTTGACCGCTATTTGCTAATAAGAGCCCTTCTTAGGCTATTTAAACTCAAATCAGCTGTTTCTCAGTGCCCTGTAATTATTTCCTCATTGGTTATGCGAGAGCACATTATTTGTATTGATTCTATTGTTTTTTTTTTACCTTGGCTTGTACTTTGTGTGTTCTGACTTCTGTATTCTTTCATCTTTGGCTTGTCTTACCATTTACACTCTGTTTCCCTGACCATCCCTTCCTTTGTACTGTTCTACTTATTAACGTTAAATACTGCCGTACCACGCTACGTTTTAGTATTATTGGTTATATTTCATTTAGTTAACTTAAGTTCTGCTTGATGGGTATTCATTAATCCTGATGGCATAGTACAAATATTGGGAAAGCTCCCACACTTTTTTTCCTGAGTGCTTGACCCCTGTTGCTATTCCTTATTCCCCCATTTTGTATATTATGTCATGTCATCACTCTGTCTTTTCCTCACAATGTTCTGACGTCAGAACTTCCCTTACATGACAGAGCAGACACCAAACAAGCAGTCACTGCTGGGTTGAATGGTAAGAATGGCTGCTCACCCTGTGGTTGGGCAGAATCTCTGATCCTTAAGCTACTCTCCCTTAATGTGCCACTCTAGTCCTAGGCCAAGTAGGCCAAATGCAATAAACATTGCAGCATATTGCACCAAAAATTTCCAGTCAGATTGCAAGATTTGCATACAATGGTGGAGTTGGATAGAAAAGATAAAAGAGAAGGGAAAGATTATTCAAATTAATTCATCTGTAAATTTGACTACATTCCCTGAATTAGCCTATTCAATACTGGATAATTTGGTATGAATTGTGATGCAACTCTGGCTAATTATCAGTGCATGAATTGCCCTCACAATTGTGAAAGGAGACACCTTTTGAATTCAATTTCAGTTCAATACCATTTGAAGTATCAAAGTGAAATACTGTAACATAAGGGTTTATGCACTACAATGAACGAGGGGCCATTTCAAAATTTTAGCACAAAATAGAAAAAGTGCACCTATAGCTGTAGATTCCAACAGTGCTACCTTGGAGCTCCAGCCCTGCTGTCCCCAATTTGTTCTCTATTGTGCCGCATTTAGGGACAATGGAAATAAATCCACAATAAGCGCAACATGAGCACATAATTCAACACTTTGCAAATGCGCTGCCCTGAGTGGAACCTGCTAGCATATCTGCTGGTCTGTATAGCGAGCATGCACCCTGTTTTCTGAGGCAACTCAACCCTTTTTCCAGTGGACACACAACAGTGTCACAGTTGAGCAGGGAGCACTTGACATGTGCACAGTCGTTATTCCGCATGTGTCATAACTCACACCCCACTTCCATTAATAAAACACAGACACCAGTTATTCTGTTGGAAATATAAAGTCCACAGCTTTATTTAAATATCATCATAAATTTAACAAAATTAGGGTCATTGCCGAATAATTATATTTTAATGCATAGAAATACATAAAAATGACCCCATACCAACGAACAATATATAACAGTATAAATAATATAAAACACGGCCCACCAAAGAGGCCCATATCCAAATGCTTAAACTGTAGGGGTGTACCAAGACACCCCTATACCCCCAGGTTCGAAGCCACCGATGAGCTCGAACCTACCAACCAGTTGAACACTCCAGCCTAATCCAGTCTAAACCTTGCAATGAGCACTTCATACTCCACCTACTTCCCATTTAACCTAGCCCTTCCCCGCCACAACACGTGACTTCACTCCTTAAGTTTATGTGTGCCCTCCACAACACAGAAACAGGGCCATGGTAAGCAAGTCACCGCCTACTTCCGACAAGTGCACTCCGCCTTTTCTTAAAGTACCCGGGCAGTATGCCCTCCAATTCCCTATGCCGCACCTCCACATCACCTACTCTCCGAATAAAAACCGGCATGGTTTTATTCACCTTTCCCCGACATCAAGCCACCACAGCTGGATCACTGACATGTCTCCAATTAAACAGGCACAATTTCTGACCATACCACCACCATGCCAGAAACCGGCTCCCGCAGCTGATCCACATCCCTCTTCATCCACCGGACTAACTCCCTTCGGGGAACTAAACCTAAATCATTCCCCCCGCCATGAATTAACACCATGTTCGGGGTGGCCCCACCGCAACCCACCTGAAAATCGCTCCACTGATTCTCTGCCAACTGAATCCCTGAAAGCCAAACCAAACCAACGCCACCATCTGCAGAGAAAAGCCTAGCTGTGCTCCTTGTCTCCGAACTGCGGCCCTCTTCTGTGCCCAGTAGATGTAGGAGTGTCCCACCAGCCAGGCAACCCAACCTAAAAAGAAACAAGACAATGACACAGCAGAGCAACATCGAAACAATCCCCTACCAACCCCCATCACACCAACCTGTCCGGCCTTAAATACAAACAGAACCAAATAGATTCCCACCTCCCTTTTCGTTTAATCCGCTCTTCCCCCAAGCCAAGGCGCACTGCCTCCGTTGCTGCTCCTATCCTGAACAAGTGCGTCCCAAACTGCATGGCGTCCCAATCTCTGAAGACCTAAGCGGAAGACCCTAACAAACTGAAACCGAGGCAGCGCATAACCATCAGCATGTACCAAATGATGGGGGTTCTTTGGAATTTTCCCACGCTGTGTAATTTAACTCATAACTCTCTGATTGGTGGATTAAGTAACCAATCAGAGAGTTATGAGTCAGCCACGTCCGGCCCCCCCGTCAGAGGCCCATACCTTCCCGAACTGCGACGACGAAACCCCTCCACCTGACCAGGAATCTAAAAATGATCTCAAACAGCTCAACAGAGTCCCTGAGTGTGGTGCATGCAGCGACTCACCGCCAGGACCCCTGGCCGTCTGTTCGGATGAACTCCCACCTGCCCTTCCTCCCCACGCTCTCGCCTGCTATGCCTCTCCCTGCTCAGCCCTGCTACCTGGCCCTCACAGCCGTAAGTGGTACACCCTCGCGAACTCCTGTCAGACAATCTAGATGCGCTGCACAGATTCCTCCTATTCCTATCCCTTGAATCTGACCTCCTCCTACTGCGCCGGCTGGGTGATGGGCTATGCCACCAGGACCAGACTCACCGGGATGTGTCAGGGTGCCTCCACCGACATCCTCACGCCCAGCCGCACTCCCGTCCTCGTGGGAACCCACCACCTGTTGTGCCGTCCCGCCAGCCGCCTTGTGGCGGGCATGCTCCGCACGGGGAGCCTTGTCCTGGCCGTCGTCCTCGCCCGGCCGACACCAGGTCGGACAGACGGCACCGGCCGCATGCTCACCTCCTCCGGTCCTCCAGCCTCCGCGCCACTCGACGTCTCCTCACTTCCGGCACCATACCCAGACTCCGCCGCTAGGGCGGCAGCGTCCACAGCGCCAGTCGCCGCTCAGGGACCGGCAGCCGCACTTGTCTCACCCAGTTGCTCCTGAAGCCAGGCCATCCCCTGGTCTCTCACCACTGCTCAGACACCCACCAAGATCTAGTCCAACTGAGCCATCTGAAAGAAAAAAACAACCCGGACCTGCTAACAACGATCAGGTAAGGGAAGGCTTGTAATTAAAATGGCCACTTTCTAAGATGGCCGCTCTATATCCCCTAGTCTCCACCCCCACAACTAAATCACTAGACTCTCACCCATAATTATTACAAACCCACATGCCTGTCAAGGCCCACTCCCCTATCTGCGCTGTTCCATGGGCTACAGCTATGTTCTCAGTTTGCTTGGCATATATTTTATGAAGTGATCAGGGGTGCAAAAGTCAGCTAGTCTATATGTGCATATGTGTATAAATCATCTCAAAATACAATGTTGAGGTAGATCCCAACTCCTCGAACACTAGTTTAGCAGAATGTCCATGTGCTAGAATGCCAAGATTTTTACTACAGTGACAAGGGCACTTTTGACAATGTATTTGTTATGTTTAGTTATGAACTTCGCACATTTATCCCATGCAGGAGGATGGAGAGATGTGGTTATGGAATTTATGGCTGTCCTTGAGACTCACTCTCTGCATCTCCACTTACAGCGTCATCCAGCAGGCGTCACTTCTCTTGTCTTCTCATAGAGGAGCATTGGGGATGAGACACACATGCACAGTAAGGGAGTGCCGTTTTCCTCCAATCAAATGCTCTCTAGGATAGACATTCAGAGTAGGCAGGGCCGATAGTCAGGTCACTGACGCCTGGGTGCAATAAAAATGTCTTGCCCCCCAGGTGAGTTTGACTACATCCATTTTCTATAGAAACTACTGCACCTCTTTGGGCCCCCCAACTTCACCAGGTAACATGTCACCAACTTCCTGATGTCCCAGCTTTGCCCCCAAAAAGCTTATCAATGCCATCTTTGTGCCCACCTTCCCAGTGCCGTCTCTGTCCCCATACAGTTTCTCAGTGCCATCTGTGTCCCAAAATAGCTAAATAGTGACATATTTGTGTTCAAATAGCTTATTGGTGTCATCTTTGCCAAATAGCTCATCAGTGCCAGGGGCAGATCCAAAACTAATCACATAAATGGTACTGGTAGTGGGCTGTGGTAGGGTGATAGGGGCTGTAATTGAGGAGTTAGGGGGGTAGGGGCTGTAGTAGGAGACAGGGGCCGTAGCTGGAAGAAATGGGATGATGCGGGGAGGTAGGGACTGTAGTAAGAGGGTTAAGGGCTGTAGTGGAGGACAGGGGCTGTAGTTGGAGGAAAAGGGATTATGTGGGTATGGACTGTAGTAGAAGGATTAGGGGCTGTAGTGGAGGGTATGGGTTTTAAGAGGGTTCATTTAGTAATTTTAGTAGTTTTAGGAGTCCATTAATATAGTGTCTTGCAATTGTGACATGTGGTTTCCTAACTATCCAAATTAAATCATATATGCATTTTGGCTTCCACCAGACCATGGTTCCTCAAACTCCGACACCCCAGATGTTGCTGAACTACAACTCCCATTATTCTCTGGCTAGCTATGTAATTCAAAGAATCATGGGAGTTGTAGTTCAGCAACATTTGGGGGGCCGGAGTTTGAGGACCCATGCACCAGACTCACTGAGCATGATAGTAGTTTTAGTCCAGAAATGGCCAGCAACTTTATTTTTTTTTAACTGGGCCTCTGTACCTAGGTAGGTAAGACGTCATAAACCAGAACTGTTTTTCTTTTATCATAATACGTTTTTTTTTCAATAATCAGGATGTTAAAGAGTTAAATGGGTGTAACTCCCCAGCCATGGACAGCATATCAAGGTATCTGGGCTAGCATGCTGTGTTTGCTGACTCCAGATGCAAACATTGCCCAAACTGATATTGCCAGCCTAGAAGAGAGTATTACTGCTTGCTGGCTGACTGACTGACAGCCCTACACACACCAGAAATAGATTTATATTCAGAATTAAACCATTTTAAAAGAAAGGTTGCAGCAGGAGTAGGATTACGTGGTTTTGGTTATCATCCCTATCTTTAATATGTGTCAGGATCCGTTAGCCATATACATAAACCCTGGGTCAGACAGTGTTAGAATGTAACAAGTAGTAAGTCTGATGATGTCACTGCACAGGGTGTGAAGCAGGGAAGACCGTAGAGACTATATACAGTAGAGGTTTTTAAACACTGTGTGACCCAAGGTGCGTGTATATTTCTGAGTGATCTTGTCATAGATTAATGATAGGAATGATAACCAATTCACATTTTATTGAAAATCCCTGTTAACGTTTACGACCTGAATACATTCCCAAAGATGCTTTATGTTGGACTTAAAGGACCACTATAGTGCCAGGAAAACATACTCGTTTTCCTGGCACTATAGTGCCCTGAGGGTGCCCCCACCCTCAGGGACCCCCTCCCGCCCGGCTCTGGAAGGGGAAAGGGGTAAAAACGTACCTTTTTCCAGCGCTGGGCGGGGAGCTCTCCTCCTTCTCTCCTCCTCCGTTCCTCCTCCTGGGCTGAATGTGCACGCGCGGCAAGCGCTGCGCGCGCATTCAGCCCGTCGCATAGGAAAGCATTTACAATGTTTTCCTATGGACGCTGGCGTGCTCTCACTGTGAAAATCACAGTGAGAAGCACGCAAGCGCCTCTAGTGGCTGTCAATGAGACAGCCACTAGAGGATTAGGGGAAGGCTTAACCCATTCATAATTATAGCAGTTTCTCTGAAACTGCTATAATTATGAAAAAATGGGTTAACCCTAGCTGGACCTGGCACCCAGACCACTTCATTAAGCTGAAGTGGTCTGGGTGCCTAGAGTGGTCCTTTAAATCAAAGGGAGGATCTGAGGAAGGCATTATAACAAGGTATTGTGGGAGTAAATGTAATCACCCTGTTATTAAATTATTTTTATTTTATTGTTAATAACAGTGTTATCAGTAAATGTCTAGTAACCGGTCTTAGAACTGTATGCCATATTATCACTAAGAATATGGAAGGTTAGGGAGCAGAGGCAATAATGGGAGAATTAAGGTTGGTGTGATAAACTGAATATGCAATCTAATTGTAAAATTAGTTTACAGTTACATTGTCAGATAATAAAATAAAACAGCAAAAACAAAAGACTTCATCTGGCTATTTAAGAAATAATTCATCTGCAAATACAGCTGTTATCCCTGAATTAGCATGGTCAATTTGTGTCTGTCTGCCAGGAAACAAGCTAAAAACAATAAGAAATGTAGCACACAGGAATTTATTTTCCCCAAAATTCATCAAACAAAACAACTTTAGGGGAAAATTTGAACATTTCAGCTCAATACACATTAAAATGATATCCTGTGACATTAACACAGTCAGCAATTAAACAATCTAGGATCCTGCTGATTAGGACGGGTCTGGGTCATTGACAAACATATCCCCTCACCCTTTATGGGACAAGGTAAGGATTAAAGAGACACTATAGTCACCAGAACAACAACTTCATAATGTAGTTGTTCTGGTGAGTATAGTTAGTCCCTACAGGCATTTTAATGTAAACACAGCCCTTTCAGAGAAAAGGCAGTGTTTAGTTTACTGCCTAGGAACACCTCTTGTGGCAGTCACTCATACGGTGCACTGCATGAAGTCGCTGAACATTGCACATAGAGATACATCTATGAGGAGATGCTGGTTTACCCAATAGCCTCCGGATTGCCTGAGATCATCTAGTTTGATGATCTCAGCCAAGGAGGCAGAACCAGCCATGGCAGTCCTGCACAGCGCTGGAAAAAGGTAAGTTTTTATTAAACTTTTAAAAGAATGCCAAGACCTAAACTGCTTTTCAACACTATAGTGAAAGGAATACACATTTTTTATTACAGTCACTATTGTGTTCCTTTAAGGTAATGCTCTAATCTGAAAATTACCCACTTTTAAAATTAATTAAAATATATTCAATATATAAATATAAATATAGATACTCATATTTGAGGTTCCTGCATTTGCTTCAAAACCCTAAGCTTTGCAGCTTCTGCAGTGAGTTCTTATATTTGGAAATTACTCAGCCAGCCATGATACCCATTTATGTTTCTATGGGAGTGCTGAGTTTGCCCTATAAGCAGAGCTTATCAATTATAGTTAGTTATGCATTTTTTAAAAACCTTCATATTGCATCAGGCATGTGGGTGCTTGGGGAGTGTATTTAATGTTACTAACTAGTCCATCTCTAAACTGGCTGTCTACTGCTTGTCAAAGCACCAAACCTACTGTGAGCCTCCTACTGATTGTCTTTGGTGAGAGCTTTAACAATCACCTAACTCATTAGAACTAATACCAGACATCTAAAGAATACAGTAAAAGGGTATGCCAGATCCATCTGAAACCTATAGATGTTTATTCACTAAACTTGCATAGTAGAAAATGTAAACTAAAATGATTTTCCAACTCATATAGTCATTGGAGGCTCGTCTATAGGGGCACTTGGGACAGTGCCCCACCAGTTTTTATGTGGGGCGAAAACATATTTGCAGTAGTTTAGAAATTGTAGTTTACACCCTGTTCAAAATTATGCAAATTATATTTTTCTCATTTACCTAAATAAGTGATGTAAATACCAGTCAGCATAATTCTCATGTTATCAACTAGTACAATTCAAATTTTATTGAACAAACCACCTAATGATAACAGTATTTTTTTTTTTAAACATAAAAAAACTTACAATGCACTGTTCCAAATTATTACGCACAGTAAGTTTCAAAACACTTTATAGGTTGTAAAGAACTGAAAATTGTCATTTGTTTGCAGCATATTTACTGAAATCAAAAGCTATTTCAATCACACTTATAACAACATTTTAACTTTTTAAACATTTTAACAGGTCACGTTACATTTTAACATAGGACCCCTTATTTGATAGCAGCTTCACAAGTCTTGCATCCATTGAACTTGTGAGTTTTTGGACAGTTTCTGCTTGAATTTGTTTGCAAGATGTCAGAATAGCCTCCCAGAGCTGCTGTTTGGATGTAAACTGCCTCCCACCCTCATCGACCTTTTGCTTGAGGATGCTCCAAAGGTTCTCAATAGGATTGTGGTCAGGGGAGGATGGAGGCCACACCATGACATTCTCTCCTTTTATCCCCATAGCAGCCATTGATGCAGAGGTATTCTTTGCAGCATGAGATGGTGCATTGTCATGCATGAATATGATTTTACTACGGAGAGCATAGTTCTTCGTTCTGTACCAGGGGAGAAAGTGGTCAGTTGGAAACTCCACATACTTTGCAGAGGTCATCTTTACACCTTCGAGGACCCTAAAGGGGCCGACCAGTTCTCTTCCCATGATTCCGGCCCAAAACACGACTCCACCGCCTTGCTGACGTCGCATCCTTGTTGGAACAGGGTGGCCGTCCACCAACCATCCACTACTCCATCCATCTGGACCATCCTAGGTTGCACGGCACTCATCAGTGAACAGGACTGTTTGAAAATTAGTCTACATGTATTTTTCTGCCCAATGCAGCCGTTTCTGCTTGTGAGCATTGGTTAGTGGTGGCAAAATAGAAGGTTTATGCACAGTTGCAAGACTCTGGAGGACTCTACACCTTGATGTCCGTGGGACTCCAGAGGCACCGCCGGGCTGAAGGGAAAGGAAGGGGGTTAAACACTTACCTTTCTCTAGCGCCGGGCTCCCTACTCCCTCTTCTGATGTCATCGGCTGAATGCGCATGCGCGGCAAGAGCCGCATGCGCATTCAGCCAGTCCATAGGAAAGCATTCTCAATGCTTTCCTATGGACGCTGGCGTCTTCTCACTGTGAAAATCACAGTGAGAAGCGCCTCTAGCGGCTGTCAATGAGACAGCCACTAGAGGCTGGATTAACCCATTTGTAAACATAGCAGTTTCTCTGAAACTGCTATGTTTATAGCAGGCAGGGTTAAACCTAGATAAACCTGGCACCCAGATGTGGTCTGGGTGCCTATAGTGGTCCTTTAATAATGTGGAACACCCTCCTTTAGCAGTTTTTCCTTAAATTGGGCTCACCTGGCAATCTAATTACCACAGGTGTTCGAGATTGTTTTCAGTGATCAAAAGAGCCCTGAGACACAATGAGTTAAACTGAAATCCATGAGTTAAACTGAAAAACAAAATATTTAATCTTTGTGACACTTAAATAGAATTTGCATAATAATTTGGAACAGGGTGTAGTCAAGACTATTTTGTGGAGGAGAGGGTGGTAAGCAAAAAAAAAAAAAAAACACAATTATCATCTCTTTAATTCTGTAGGTCTCCTTCCCCTCATTGGTATCTGTTTGGAAAAATTTACTTGAGAGCATCTAGGCATTTCAAAAAATAAAAAGGGTATTTTTTGAATCTGCCCTGTTTCAGTAGGTTTTGCACATGCCTAGTCTCCTTTAAGAAGAACTTTCAGGAATTTGTATTGACTTCCAATTCAAGCAGCAGTAACAGCTGCTCATGAGTGGAGGTATGCTATTGGCCTTTCTATTCAGGGGCCATCATTGGCTCATAGCACCAGGGGGTGGGGTTACAGTGTCCACGGGAGAGAGAAGCAAGATGCCATATTGGAAGTAACAGAGAGCACAGCAGCCCCTGACCCCTGTCACTAGCCCCAACGACTGCCTGAGGGCTTATTAAGCAAGGGAATTTGCTCAAATATAATATATATATATATATATATATATATATATATATTTGTATTTGGGGCAAACAGGCCGTATAGAGAGATAATGAGCAGGGTTAGGTATAGCGCAGTATAGAAAGGAAAAGTCGGTTTAGGTGTGCCGGAACCAACGACGTAATAGGCCTGTAGATAAAAGTGGGCCCACCCAGGGACGGTGCAAGGATTTTTGCCGCCCTAGGTAATAAAAAAAAAATTGCCGCCCCCCCCATATGTCCTGCCCACCATGTGATATCACAATGCCCCGCCCATATGCTCTGCCATATGGGCCAACGCCAGTCTTCACAAAGTGTCTTTTATCTGAAAAGACAGTGTGTTTACATTAAAAAGCCTACAGGCACAGGCTATAGACACCATAACCAATAGATTAAGCTGTAGTGCTTCTGGTGACTATAGTATCCATTTAATGTGAGGTAAATTAGAGATTAGTGCCACTAATAATATATTGGATTGCCTACTTACCACCAGATGAGGACAAGAGGCTGATGATGGGCTCAGTCTGGCTCCACAGGTCTGGTGTAGAAGAGGCTCTCAGGAGACTGTTTTTAACAGTGCTCACAAAAATTAACGAACAGGAAGCAGCTCCGTTTTTTTAGGGCCCCTTACACAGCTCAAGGTCTGGGCCCCCAGGGTTTGACCATGAGTATGCCTACAATGCCCACCCATAAATCCAGCTACATGGCCCACCCATGAGTTATCTCACAGGAAGTGGAGTGTATGTGTGTAGAGGATGCAATGTGTGTGTGTTCTTATAGAGTGTAGTGTATAGGGATACCAATTTCTGTAAGGGATGTAGTGTGTTTATAGGGGATGCAGTGTGTGTTTGCTTGTAAGGAATGCATTGTATGTTTCTGGGTGTGTGTGTGTAAGGGGTGCAAGGTGTGTTTCTGTGTTTTTAATTGAATGCAGTGTGTGTCTGTAAGGGGTGCATTGATTGTGTAAGAGATGCATTTTGTTTCTGTGTGTAAGAGAATGAGTGTTTGTGTGAGCGTAAGGGATGCATTGTGTGTTTAGGGTGTGAGTAGGAATGCATTGTATGTTTCTGTGTGTGTGTGGGGGGGATGCATTGTGTATGTGTGTGGTGTAAAAGAGAGGGTTTGTGCGGTAGGATAGAGACTGAGAGGGGAGCAGCTCTTTATTTTAAATTTTTTTCATAGTGCTCTCCCCCCCTGTCAATTATTGATTTCCCCTCCCCTCCTGTCCCTCCGTGTTCTCCCCTTCTGTCCCTTAGTGCTCTCCCTTGGCCCACTGTAGTCCCCCCTTGGTGGTCTTCTCACTCCCCCCTTAGTGGCCCTCCCTCTCCCAAACCCCTTAGTAGACATTCCCCTCCCCCCCCTTAGTGGTCCTTTCCCCCCTTAGTGGACCTCCCTCTCCCAAACCCCTTAGTGGACCTCCCCCCTCCTCCCTCCCTCAGTGGTCCTTACTCCCCACCCCCTCTCCCCTGTGTTCCTTCACCTTCCCAGTGGTTCTTACTCCCCCCATGGTCCTTACTCCCCCCCTCCTCCCCTAGTGGTCCTTACTACCCCCATTATTATTATTATTGCCATTTATATAGCGCCAACAGATTCCGTCGCTTTACAATATTCCTCTCCTCCCCCAGTGGTCCTTACTCGCCCCATCTCTCTCCTCCACCTGTGGTCCTTACTCCCTCCCTCTTCCTTCAGTGGTCCTTACTCCCCCTCTGGTCCTTACTCTCCCTCCCCCAGTGGCCCTTACCCCCTCCCCTCCACCTCTGGTCCTTACTCCCCCTCCCCCCGGTCCTTACTCACCCCCCCTCTGGTCCTTGTACCCTCCCCGGTCCTTACTCACCTCCCCTGGTGGTCCTTGCTCCCCCTCCACCCCGGTCCTTACTCACAGCCCCCCCCCTCCAGTGTTCCTTACTCCCGGTCCCTACTCACCACCCCCCCTATGTAGCGTGGCACTTCCTGTCAGTCCGCCGGCGGCCGGGTACAGGAAACAGAGGTTCCTGTCCCGCGTTCCGCGCCGCCCGGCCACACTACATTGAGAGACCGGCGGGAGGGAGCGCTCTGCGCTTCCCTCCTACTGGTCACTCAAATCCGCGGTGACTCCAGGTGCAGGGATCCGGCACCCCCTGTTAAGGTGCGCTGGCCCTGGGCCCACCCATAAAGAGTAATGAGGGATATACAGAGAGAATAAAGGGAGTGGAGGGAGGGGACATGCAAAACGCCAGGCCATATACGGTGCAGAGGAAGGGGAGTAGTGCCTTTAAATAGGTAAATAAAGCCCCTCCCACAACTGCAGGCAAGCCTTAACATTTGTGTTTGGGGCAAAAAGGCTGTATAGAGAGATAATGAGCAGTGTTAGGTATAGCATAGTATAGAAAGGAAATTACTTTAAGTGGGGTAGGGAAAATAGACCGCTTGTTTAGAAATGTGAGACCTCTGAAAGTTGGACATGGATGTAGCGGTACATTTTTGGGGGCCTATCGCAGTCTTAGTTACTTAAATGACGTGGGGTTCGACAGGACTGGCATCTAGTAAGTCTGATAGTGAATGGAATAGTTGCTTGTTGATGGGTAAACTATGTGTTCGTTCTGGACCAGATTCCAGAATGCTTATGAGTATTGTTTTAATCTGATATGAAGACACGAAACTATGTTTGTTTTTGAAAGAGTTCAACATATGATGTTGTATACCGGATAGACATAATTAAATGATATAGTGAGATAATGTAGGTATAAGGTGGCAAAAGTAAGCCATGGGCCGGGCTCTGAGGAGCGCCTGTAAATGAAAAGCGAGACAGTTGACCGCAGCAATAAATATTATACATGATCACGGAACAAGAAATAGAAGACAAGCAGCCAAACAGGTTAAAACCATCAAAGGAACCAAATATAAGTGAAAAATGACGATCACCCCTTTTGATAACGTAACGTGACGTAAGGCCCGGACGAATGACACATATCATACTAAAATCTGACCACAGACAGCCCCCAAGCTACAGCAGCAGCCACTATCAGGTACCTTTTAAAAGCAGGAGTAGTTGAAACCTACAACGACCAGGACTTAGCAGGACAAAAAGGCCAATAGTTTCTAAAAGGCTGCACGGGGGGAGGTGTCAACCACAATCATAAGAAATCTGTCAGATAGATGTGGCAGAATGTACTATTCTACATTACATTAGACTGTTTCATACATAATATATACTACCGAAAGCCGACCACCCTCCTGGCCACAGAACACCTCGTGGAATTAATTAGAATGTTCCCTGGGTAGCGCACGTGTTTAGCGAACGACGGCCATCCAGACTCTCGAAACTAGGGCCGCGGTACATGGTTGACAAGCTCATGGAACTATTTTCGGATGCTAGTGTGAACCTCGAGCAAATTGGACCACTGCCTGCTTCACATCTATAAACGTGCGAACGATGCAGTTCGGTAGATAGACACTAACGAACGAGGGGGACGTTCGCCACTTACAGTCAGGGGAAGCATCATATTCAGAGATATACACACTACAAGCCACATCAAGAGTAAAGTAATTGCCAGATGGTAAACCAAAATTTAAAAGCTTGCATGAAATTAAAACGTACATGGACTGCAGTCAACCTGTTTTAGCATAAGCAGATGTTATGTAAAAACTCAGAGGAGGTTTTAGGCACACAAAAATGCTACACACAACTAAGGAAAAGTAGCAATGCAAACAAGCACATAAACACAATGCCAGCATACTTGCCACTAGCCCACAAAGATGGAGACACGTATTAATGTAATATAAATACAGCACATTAAAATATATGTGTATTAGAAGATGGTAAATTAGTGTATAGCATCAACCTGTACTGGCTTACTAGCTAATGCCAAGTGGCGAAACAATTATGCTAGGTTGGTGATAGGTGAGGCCCTGCTAGTGCCAAACGGCTTGAGAGGCTCTATCTATACGTTGGAGCGAGGGGATTTCGTGGCCACCAAAACGTTGTGGCGGGGTGTTGGCCTTTCAGTGACAAACATAAGATAGAATGGGAATGACAGATGAAGCCATCTATATGCCACAATGCACGGCGACTAACTATGATTTGGCCCGTAGGGCGTAGTACCTCAGAGTATGAGGATGGTTGTTGGCCTCGCGGGACCACTAACCTAAGACGTAGAGGCCTGGGGAACTACCACTAGTTGACTCCTAGGACCATGACAGCCAGTAACAGCTAACTAAGAGGGGGGGTAGCGAATACAGGAAATGTGTTGTATAAAACAGAGCGAGTAAGCGTTGTAAAGTAGACCCATATAGGGGGATAGAGGTAGAGTGGTCGTAGCATGGAAAATGAAAAACTTGGATATGTACAGTCAGGTATGGAGCATGTTATGAATAGAGTACGTAAGGGCAAGACCCATGTGCGGCAATTGAAGTGAAATTACTACGAGTATATATGAATGTAAGAAAACCTATCAGGGCCGTGATGAACAATGTAGAATCGGGCCCCAGGTGTAGGTGATGAGTACTAGAATCGGAAAAGAAATGTATATTCGTATCAGAGTATGTATGGGTAGTAAGGGGCCAGATTGTGGACCCATGCACGTAGGTTTGCATCAGAGTATGTATAAGCCAAAAGGCCCAGATTGTGGACCCACTAGGCTAAGAGATATCGTGAGCAACCCATGAAAACATTATGGAGGAGGTATCAGTGTAACACTGTTCCGTACGATGAGCTCCCTGAAACCTGAAATTGAAAAAAACAAGACACCAGATACAAAAATGAATAATAAACCTGACCAATATCACATTAAACTGGGAACTAACTAAGGTAATACAGTATTCCAAGTAAAGGAACCTATACGATATCAGGACAGTATGAACGGGACAGCAGACACAACTTGTGCAAGTACCTGACCAAATAAAGACATACAAGCAGAAAACATGAAAAACTGAGAAACAGGAACAAATGCAATCTGGCATATGAAAATCGACAACAATATACCAGTGATAAGCAACATGAATAAACAAACGACAGTAAGACATAATTTGAGAATAGAACCAAAAACTGTTTTTTTTCTTGGTTTTTTAGACCACTAGAGAGCCTACACTGCTCGTCTCAGAATAACTGACAAATCTGGCATGTGAAGTACAATACATTCGTGTAAATGGTAATGAGAACCGAATTAAAACTACACGAACATCACGTGGCCAAAAACATCAGTGCATTCAGAACAGAATAAAACAATAAATGGAGCATTCAACTGAAAAAGAGGGTGAAAGCCCCACAACTACCGAACGGTATTAGGCATACGAAACAACGTACGTGCAAGAGCCGAACAGTATGCGCATGCGCATGTGCACACATGCCCGAAGCCCCAATTCGTGAAAGAGTAAAGGTAAGGAAAAAACAAACGAATGATAAGACAAACGAATAAGAACTACCAAATGTACCCATTCGAGTGCACGAATAAGCGAGCATTCGTGCAATCAAACAAGTGAAACAGGAAGAAACTAAATGACTTGAAACGTGTTCATGTGAAAACAAAGCAATAGTATAGGGCTAAACCGGGATGATGCTGTGCGCCCGTGACTGCGGCACAACAGCTGCGGGTTACTCACGATACCGGAAAGTGAGCCGGAAAGCGACCATGTGCGAGGACCGACGAGTCGGAGGGAAAGGAGATCCAGCAGAGGGACCACATGGAGCTGAGAAAGCAGGTAAAGAAATGGAGGCTTGTAGCGACCGGAAGTGTCGACATGCAAAACAAACGCCAGGCCACGTATGGTGCAGAAGAAGGAGAGTATTGCCTTTAAATAGGTAACCTCCCACAACTGCAGGCAACCCTTAATAAATTGATTTTTATATATATATATATATATATATATATATATATATATATATATATATATATATACATACACATATAAAATCAGGGAAAACTGGGAGGGAGACATTCCTGACACAGAGCACTGTACTGCCAATCACTAATATTTGTAATAACTCCAACTGCACATACCCACCATCTAGTTTGTGTTCAGTCACTCTACAGTTGAGACCTGAGACACTCAAAGTGGCTAGAACTTTGAACCAAATCCTAAATGAAACATGAAGCCTGTGTAGAAAATGACAGAGTGGTGAAGTATGACAGTTGCTGGATGCAACATAGAGGAATATGGCTGAGGCGTTCATTATGGACCATAAAGGGGAAACCTGGGCGCTTTAGAGTGTAGATTGCACAATTTTATTTTTTTTAAGTAGTAATAAAACAATTGGTACAGATGCAACAACATAGTGAGAACTCCCATTGTAGGCATGTATGTAGGGTCAAGCTGTCATGTGTAGCAGTGCAGTGCCCGTCAAGGGAGTCACCCCCCACCAGGAGACTATGGTGTGTCGACTTTGCATTATTCAAAATAACGGTACCGGGGAAAGAGGAGAGGCAGGGGAGTGTAAAAGATGGTTAAGGTCTGAGCAGGGCCAGTGTATAATGTATCGTCGTGTATAACCAGTAAATAAATTATAAAGGCTTAAATCGAAGGAGAAACGAAAACATAATATAACTGGTACTTGGTGGTTAAGCAAACGTCTATTTATAAGAGATCTCGGTGTATCCATTACGATGAAGTGAGAAGTTCCCATCTGGACCGGTTACTCATTTCATGGCACAGTTACTCCTGTCAGTGATCTATCAGACCCTGGACGCCAGAAGGCACGGGGTGTGAACGCCGGGATAACTGCCGGGTCTAGCCTTGACAGGCCTGCCTTCTCAGGTGCAGGGATCTCCAGGAGGTGTAGGGTACACAGGTGTGCCCCCAGTTCTTGTGCAATCTGGGCTTTATAAGTGGATCCATCATACGTAAAGAGGAGCACCTGTGGGTTCCCCCATTTGTAGGGAATGTTTGAATTACAGAGGGCTTGCAATAGCTGTTGCTGGGTTCTTCTTGTGAGGTCTGGGAAGATCTTTATAGTGGCACCTTCACAGGGTAGTAGAGTCCCCGGAGAGCAGTTAGCAGCGAAGTCTTGTCTTGAAGGGACTGGAAACTGAGGATTAGGTCCGCGATTGCCGACGCTGGAGCGTTCGCCGGTTTTGGCAATCGGAACATCCCATCCAATCTGAGAGCTTTCACCTGTTTCGGTGGTAGCATATTCCAATAGGCAAGTAGGCAAATAGGCGGCGGATAAAGTGGGGTAAGTCGGTGAGGCCCACTGACTCCGGAGTCCCCCTCACTTTGAGATTTTATCTCTGTCGCTGATCCTCCAAAGCATCCATTCTCTCTGTGGTGGCAAGTTGTTGTCTCTGCAGGCCGGCCACCGTTTGTTCAACTGCTGTTAGCCTGGCGTCGTGGGTGTTAGAGCAGGCTTCAAGCCGGGTAAGCTTGGTCGTGGCACCGTCCAGGGCCATTTTGTAGTAGGCCATATCGGCTGCTATACTCTTTCACAGGTCTGCCAGCATACTTTGGAGCAGATCC